GATGCCGGTCACAGGTGCTGGCGAAATGTTAGGAAACAAGACTTCACGACCACGGCCATACAGCCCGGAAGACCCACACCAGCAATTAAAAGATTATTTAGTCAATGGTGATACCCCTGATTCATAACCCAAAAGCTACTTTTTCTTTGAGGTTCTTAATATGTAACACCTACACCATCTTGTGGTGATTAATGATATTTTAATATTTAATGTGTAGCTGTTTGTGAAATAAATAAATACTGAAGAGAACAAAGTATTATTTATGGACATACTTCACAAAAATCTAAATAACAGTCAAAATTCTTATTACCAAGTACAATATATTCTATATTCTGGTAGGACACAATCAAAAAAATCTGTGAGACAGGATTTTAGAAAAATGCCATAGTTATGGATTACTATTACTGTAATAGTAAAATGTACCAGACAGAACAACAACATTTTAAAGAAATATTGTTCAAATTGTTTGGGACTGGCAATAGTTTCATTTTAAGCAATTAAAGGCAAGTATCTTGCAACCAGTTTACCTTTTCCCTAGATGTTCTACACAATCCATCTTTTAAACTTCTATTTCCTTTTATTAATTCTAATGTGAAGATACAAAATCATGTTTTCCTTCCAAGAATAACTTTGACCTACATCAATCATTTTGACATATGAATCCTTTATATGCTTAAGTCCTATTTTCAGTACACTTTCCACAACTCTTTCCAAGATCAAAAAGTAACCCTTTACTATACCAAAAATATATATGAAACAATGGTGACTGTCCTCACATATTACCATTATTCTACCATATTCTGATGATTAGTACAATAAACCTCTATTATAGGGTATTGAAAGAATAAGATTTCAAGAAGTTTCAAAAGCAAAATAGGGAGGCAAAGGTTATCCCCCTCTCACACTCCCCATGGCATCAGACTGCATGTTCTTTCACAGGACACAGTTCCTCTTAGATAAAATCCTCTTGCCAGATAATTGACACAATGCACACTTTATCACTGCGCAGGAAGAAATGAGAAAATATAATCTCACTAACAAGAAATAATGGCTGGCGACCAAGCTCAGCCACAATTTGGGGAATCCGTTATGTTAAAGTAAATAATATTGTATGTAGCAAAACTATACAATACTCCTTGGATCACTTACATTCCTAAGGATATAAAGCACAAGTAAAGCTGGCATTAACTGAATGATTTGCATATCTGTCAGGATATCTGCTCTTGGGAAGAAACTGATTTTTAAGTTATCTGTGTTAAGTAAGAATAGGGGGTGAGGTGCATTGCATTAAATTTTGTATTATAGATCTGGGAGTAAAAAGAAGAGAAAAAAAGATAATACACATGGTACTTACCAGTACATCATGTACTAAGGCTTGGTAGGTCCAAGTATGGTGTAGAGGAGTTGCCAAATCTATGTTTCTGTCAACAAGCACTAAAAGAGGTCTCTGAAAACTATAAACAAGCATATTTGTTTAGTATCTCCATTACTATCTGCATACTTAGAAAATTCTAATGACTACAACTATATTGGGACACTGTAAGAGTTATAATGAATATGAAACATTTTCCCACTGAATGCAAGAGTTTTTAATTAAATAAAATGTTTGTCTCTATGTATGAAATTACAAAAAGATTCTCACTAAAGCAATCTGCTTAAACCATCAATTTTCTTCAAGAAACATTTTAAAAATGTTACTCTTGTATTACTACAATGATAAGTAAGCTAAGGAAAAGCAGTGACATATTTTAATTCTGCAAAGTACTAATAAAAGCATGTTTTTAAAAAATGTTGCCAAAAATTAAATGAAATGTTACCTGAACTGTCCAGCTCCAAGTGTATCTCCAGTGAAAAGGCTGTTTCTGGCATCTCTAAGGTTCTCTCGGAGCTTCTTATCCAATTTCTGTGGAAACAAAATACAATTTTCAAAAACCTATAAAATTGGTAAAATATGGGGGGGAGGGGAACACACCTGTAGATTTCTTGTAAAACTGGGGCAATGACAGAAAATAATTAGGAAAGACGGGTTATGAATTTCTCAATAATAAATAAGATATACCCAAAACCATTAATCTCATTTCTTCTTTTCTAGATACCACTAATAATAGATACATAATCCTCTCTACTGAAAACATCTTTTTGCTCCAGAGCAATCCTGTATAATTTCAGAACCTTTTCTTTGTGACCAACTTCAGGGGAAGAAATGTTGAACTGAGGATGGCTCAGCAAAAAGCTGAGCCGATGACTGTGGTGGAATGAAGACCCAGCGAGTAGACTGGCTCTTCATAATTCCTCTCTGGACAAGGAGAGGACTTGAGATTGCCCACAAGTGCTTCAGATAGTTGGGAAAATGCTTTTGTTTTGAATTCTTTAAAAAAAAAAAAAAGATAAGACATTAAAAATTGGACGCTAGAGGGAACTAAAGATTACAGTTAAAGGAGAAGAGCACTTAAATTTGACTTACAAATATAGGATGAAGCAAAAAATTTTAACACTGGACATATTGAAGGATATTTTTGAACAATGGATCCAGAAGTTAATTTTAAGAGTCTCTACCTCTATAGATAGGCTGTGTTTAAAAGATGTTATGGAAGAGGAACCAATTTTACCTGGTAAGATTGAGATTGATTTGAAAGTCAATTTAAAAATGACAGGCTACAAGAATGACATGGAAAAAGATGTTACACTGGACATACAAAAGAAACTGGCTGATGTCTTAATAATTAAGAGGAATATACAAACAGCAAACCAAAAGGGTGACCTGGATAAGTTTCCTATATTGGATTTACAAAAGAGGCTTGTTAAAGCTTTGAAGAATTTTGAGAGAAGGGACAAAGAAAAAATGAAATCAAGTTCTAGGACATTATTTGAAGGGACTAAAGATCAAGATTGTTAGAAGTAAAAGGAAGGAATATAAAGTTGGTTTATTTGATCAAGGCTAAAGTAAATATGTTATCTCTGGTAACCCTTAATGGACTTTTGCTGACATCAGGAGTGAAATGATGCAGCTTTAAGGATGTGTTTATAGATAAGAGATGGGATATGGGAAGAAGAAATCATTTGTTGTATTTTAAGAGACTGTGATAAGTTACTAAAATTGTTTATACTTGTGATAAAGGGGAAAGTCATTTCTTTATATATTTCTTTCTTTTTTACTATATTCTTATTCTTTCTTTTCTATTTTTTTTTTATTTTTTTCTTTTCTGCACTTTTGATTTTTTAAAATTCTTTTATTTTTTTTAGTTTGTATTAGTTTTTATTGTTGCAATTATAATTTTTAATTACACACACACATATGTATACACCCTTTCTTTGCATTTTTCTTTCTTTCCTTCCACCACTACTTAATAACAACCCAGGTTGTTTTACATCATTGGATTCATACAGGGTTCTCAGTGATGTTCCATACTGGCATTTATCAGATCTGAATCTGCCAAGATTCAGCTGGTGGCTGCATCATGTATTACAGAATCATAATGTTGGAATGGGCTATTAAGCCATTAAGTCCAATCCTCTGTAGGAATCAAAATCCTGTCTAGGTTTTGCTTGAGCATATCTAGTATTTAAAGCAGCTCCTTTCTCCTGTAGCCATCCTGTTCCCTCTAAATAGCTTGTCAAAAGCACTGGAGATTTTTCTAAATCATATGGGAGATGCTACATGGAAAATTAGTTAAAATCATTTCCTACCTTATTTTTTCAAATAAGAACCTATGCTGATCCCAAGGAGCACTTTCTTTTAGAGAAGTTCAAATCTGGATATAATTCATTGTCTTAGCAGACAAACCAGTGAAACAGCAAGTTGCTTTCTCATTGAAGCCTAAGCTGAAATGAGATCATTCTAACTATGGTTAACCAAGTCATGACCTAGCATGGTATATGAACCTTATCTTCATACAGTCCTGAGAGGAGTAGGGTTTGTATAATGTGGATGATATTAGTTAGACAAATAAAGGGAAAGAATTGGATCATCTTTCTCCAATCCCTGTATCTGAATTAGGCATCAGATTTAACTATGATTTGAACAAGCCAGAATTCTAAACTATGTCCAAGTTAATTAATGACAATTAACTGAAAATGGAAGGAAATCTCATTGCAACTGCACCAGAATAGATTGGAGACAGAAGTATATAATCCTAAAACCTATTTATTCTGCATTAAAACATTAGAAAGTTTAAGATTTTATTAAATAAGATGAATTGGGAAATTCTTCAGATGTGCTTGGCTTGATACATGCATGCAAATTTACTATCAAGAAAATGGTGAATCTCTTCTGCAATACAAATCAAATATACATGCCACTGACCCACTGTAAGACTAGGTGAATTAGTATCAAGGCAAAGTAGTCTGTTAATCTACTTATGCATTCTGTTAGCATTTGTGCACACTGTAATGGAACAGTACACACAGCCAGTAAGCAAGACTTACTAATACCTTTGTTAGTCCAAACGTTGGTACAAACAGAATCAAAAGTCTGACTGGGCACTTGAAAAAAGATGAAATTTGTTTCTGCAAGCTACAGAAACTCTGCACTAACTACTGTATAAATTCCATTCCATATTTTCTATTAAACACCTACCATGTTTATTTCAATAATTAATTCAGTTGTGGTATTTCATAACTCACCACTGCCACCATTTCTGCTGCTGTTCCTCTTGAACATCTAATTATTGGAATTGCTCCTATAAAAATAATGTTGAGTAGATATCCTTTGATCATGTCTAGCATATATTTAAGGTAGATGACATACTGTTTGCAAGGCTGCTCACTACACTTTTTAGTAAAGAAACAGGGGGCTTACAACTTTGATAAAACATAAAAGATATTTTTTTAAAAAGCAGACAAACACTACAGCACCTTTCAGAAAATAAATTGCAGTTTGATAAAACAACAAGGTTTTACTGAAGGCTCTGCTAAGAAGGAAGGCCTTCCAGAATGACATTAGTGAGATGGGCCTCCTGGAACAGACTTCCAGAGCACTGGCAAAGCCACCAAAAACCCAGTCTTCCTAGTTCCAATAAGATGGATCCAAATGTTTATTAGGCTACACAAAGGGCCTTCAAAGTTAATTTTAATCAATGGGCCAGTATATACTGTACAGGAAAAACAAGTTCTTCAAATATCCTGTTGCCAATCATTCAGGCATTTAAAAGCTAACATCAGGACAGCATCCAGAAATAAACCAGAGGCTAGTGCAGTTTGTTCAATAACTGATCATAAGCTCACTATAAGCAGTCCCTCTTAACATGGGTTTCAGGATTCTGTACCAATTGTATTTCCAATACAGAATGCATTGAAATAATCCTGACATGATCTAAAATTTCATGTTAATTGTAAAATGATTAAAAAATAATTTCAAATTTCATACACATGAACAATCTCAATTCCACCTAATGACCCTTTTCAATCTTTTACAATGTTATACCTGCCTCCATGAAAATAGGAAATATGATGCATGTTAAAAAAGTCTGAGTTTAGGGTTCAAGCTGATTAGGAATCTTTGGGAAAACATTACTCTGTATAGGATAAACTGCAACATTACAAATGAGAAAATGAGAAGAGAATATGGAAATGCAGATAGAGGATGGTAAGTCCTGCTTTTCTCATTATTTACTCCAGATAGTACATTAAATCATTAAAGTAATAATCTTTCCTAATAATAGTACAACAAAGAAAAAAAACCCCTTCATACTTACCAAGTGTAACAAAAAAACAGAAAAGACTGTCAACAATTGTATCCATAATGGTCTCCATTTCTGTATCTGTTATGTCTGATCTGTTAATGGCTATAATATCAAGAAGGAAGAAAAGCCATTAAAATCATCAGAGTGACTATTTACTTCCAGTAAAGAATTCTACATAACAAATTCTACACTAAAAGATAAAACACAAATGTATGCAACACATACAATTTGGAAAGCACTATTTATTCTTTTTTCCATAATGAAACAGATACATTTAGTATCTTGATACTATTAATATAGAGAGCACCAGATAAGGGAAGGCTAGATAAAACCAGTCTACTGATAGGCAGGTGCATGGAAGGAGGAAGATTTAATAAAGCTGAAGTTTTTCTTTCATTTCCTTGATTTGGATCAGACAACCCTCCCCGCCCCTGTGCTACCAGGTTTTACTATTATTATTTCTTTTTTAATTTATTCCACAGGAGAGAAAATATATATGCCATCTCAAGGGCTGACATATTTTCCCCAATTCTGAAGATGATCCAACCAGCAAATGCTAACATCCTTTTCTACATGCAAAGAATTACAGATTAAGATTTTATACAGTTTAATTGTACTATATCCTTGATAAAGGGTTGGCTGAAAATACTTCTAATAAATAAATAAATACTGATTTAAAGTACCGCACATTATAATAAATAAATGTTTTTAGAATAATCACCTACCACGATATGAAACAAGCTCTTTATTTTGATTGCATAATACAAACATGTCATCTTCCAAAGTAATGAAATTGAGGTATTGGTCAAAAACCTATACATCAAGACAAAATGATCATCGCTAAAGAAACATCTTTGTAGATCTTATACATATTTAATGTACGTATTTGAGAAATATCACATGGAATAAGAATAGTGAAATAATAAATTCAGTAGCCAGGCAGTTGCAGGAAAAATATGTATTTGGATTAAGGAGGTGCTAAGGCGGACATAATGACATAGTAGTAACATATATTTTTCTGATTACTATGTGAGCTCAGGAAAAAGCACAATTTCTTTAAGGAGCCACTGACAGGCATAGCAAATGCTAGATCCAAAGGACTTTTCCTCCTTAGGATCCAAATACCGCACACCTCTACTTTACAGAAAACATTCAACTTTAACAACATTATTTTTTTTATCTCATTTTTACTATTCTTTAGCAATCCCACAAAAACATATGATGCAGAGGATTATAGTAGTTAAGGATTCACAAAAATATAGAGGTCCCAACTTGTGCAAAGAACTTCCACTAATGCAAAACCATCACAGGATATAACTAAATTAATGCCTACATGCATTATTAGAAAATGATAAAATGTGATAGTTATCTCAACTAAACTTGCAATTGGCTATACATAATCCACTCAATATAATTCCCTTCTCACCTCTATGGGTAGTATGTGTCTTCTTAATCTCAGATCCTTTACTAGAGGCCTGGGAGTTTGAGGGTTCTGCGCAGTATCTTAGCTGTTTCCAGCACTGCACTCTTCTGGACAGAGAGCTCTGATGTTGTTCCTGGGATCTATTGGAGCCATTCTCCCAGCTTAGGAGTCACAGCCCTGAGTGCCCCAACCACCACTGGGACCACTTTGGCCTTTACTTTCCATGACACTGAACTCCAGCCACCAGGGGCTGTTACAAGCCAGGCTCTGCTGAAACGACT